CAGCTATAGTGGGTTGAATGGTGTCCCCCTACCCCAAGACAGAAGTCCACCTGGAACCTCAGAATGTGATCTGATTTGGAAGAAGGGTCTTCATAGATTCATATGAGGTAAGATCTGGAGATGAGATTGATCCTGATTTAGAATGTGCCCTAGATCCAATGAGTGTCCTTCTAAGAGACAGAGAAAGAGAAGACACAGAGAGACACAGGGAGGACAGGCGCATAGGGATGGAGGTAGAGAATAGAGCGGCTCTGCTAGAAGCCAAGGGACGCCAGAAGCTGGAAGAGACAAGGAAGGATTCCCCCAATTAGGCTTTGGAGAGAGTGCGGCCCTGCTGACACTGATTTCAGGTTTCTGGCCTCTAGAACTATAAAACAATACATTTTTGCTATTTTAAGCCATTATTTGTGGCAATTTGTTGTGGCAGCCCTAGGAAGCTAATATGCACCTCCTTATTAATCTGTCACAGTTACAAATGGCCCAGCCTGGGGCGGTTCCTCTCAGTGATGCCAGCACTCGGCCTCCGTGTGGCAGCTGTCTGTGGTGGCCGTGGGTGAGTGTGGTGGCATCAGCCCTGAGGATTTACTATTAGATCAATGGAAACAATAGAGATTCTCAGGCCAGACACATCTGTGGACTGAAAATGAACTTGCTGAACCCTCAAGGAAGGTGAGTCGCAGCTCAGAACTCATTCAATAAAATAAGACCTCTTGAATCATCCTTGATGGAGGTAAACATAGAAAATTGTGTGTCCCTTTATAACTGCAAAATATTTATACTCTTGGATATTTTTATACTTTGAAAACGGCTCTTGCCCCACCAGCTCTGACCTCAGCCTTGAGGTTTGGTCAGTCCTAGTGCCCCTCACTTGAGACTTGCACAGCGGCATTGGCCCCCCCAGTCCTTCTGCCTTTGGCGGCTTCGGGAGCTGCGTGAGGCTCTACTGCCATCTGGTGGTGGACATGCGCCACCACACCCACTCGTTTGACGAAGTTCCTGTTCTCACCAGCAGAGGGCGGGGATTGAGGCCCCGCCTGCAGACCGAAGCCCTTGTTTATAATTGGAGTTTTGGCTTTTAGTCAGTAGGGCAGGGTGAGGTTTGAAACTGAATATTGAGAAGAACCATATAATACAGCTTCTGTTTGCGTGTTATTAAATCAGTGGAAATTTCACAAATATTGCACAGCCTCCCTGGAGGTGAAGACAGACTATTTGAATTTCCAATTCGTTTCTTAGATCCCACCCAGCCTACGCTGCAGTGGGAGCCGAGAGGGGTGGGTGATGATGGTTGGAATTTCAGGGGTCTCGCTAAGACCCATTGTGCTGTAGGCTTCCCGTTCCATTTGGAACTGAGAGCCCACCTACCCCTCTTCTGGTGGAATTTTGTTAAATTGCTTGCTTGTTTAACTCTCTAACAACTAGGGTTTTATGGCCTAATTTCCTAGGAAACAGAATTTACATAGCTCAGAGTCATAGTTGGTGTGTAAAATAATTAGACTAAAAGAACCATTCTTTCTTTGTCTCCATCTAACGTTTCACAAAGATGGAACTTTCCTGACTGACCTGGAAAAAGGCATAAAAAGAAAGAAAGAAGACCTTAGCCTTGAGCTCTACCATGGTTGATACGGGAGGTAACTGTTGAGCAGTGCTCTGAATAGCCAGGGTAGATGGAGACCGTATCGTGTGTTATGCTATTCCTGTCGTGGTCCCAGGAAGAAATTTAGGAGGTTCATGAACTTGAATGAGAAGAAAAAGAAATGTCCCTTTACTTTTTTTTTTCTTACCTTTAATTGAAAGTTGGGCATTTCTTTACACTGTCACTGTAGACAACAAACCACAATAGCATCACAGCGCTTGTGACGTTGTCAATAAAATTACAGGTGTGTTTATATCACATTAGAGCTGCTGCAGATATCTTGAGCTATCATTTTCGCTCATCACTACTTCAAAAATATAGTAGTTATTGGATCTTCCATTATTTCATTTAGTACTTCAGTAAATAAGTCACATATATGAGTACATCACAAATTTGTTTTTAAAATGTTTTAAATTCTTTTAATTTAATTTTTTTAACCCTATGTACTTTTAAAATGAGTTTAATATTATTCTGAGAAGGAGTCCAAAGGCTTTACCAGACACCATAAGGGTCCAATGTGTATAAAAGGTTAAGAACCCTGTGGTGGAAGAAAGCACAAATCTACAGAAGAAAAAACTTTCCCAGGCACTAAATGATAAATCATTGAACACGCAAACAAAAACATCATGTACATCTATTTGAAAAGAGAAAGTTATTGAGTGATATATTGGAAAATATCCGACAAAAATATGTAGCCAATGTAAGAAGATATTTTTTATTAACACTCGATAAAAAACAAAGGCAAAACATTAAAGGAACACTTGGTGAATTTATGGTTGGGTGAATGTGTCGTCAGGAGCAAGCCAGTGTGGCTGGGTGTGTACCTTCTGGTGATTTTACTTTGTGCTGGTAGAACTTGGAAAATCGAGAGGAATGAAGAGATAACAAAACAGATACTAGTCCAAAAATCCATGACAGATTTCCTGCTATCATGGGGCTTATATTCCTGTGTGTGTGTGTGTGTGTGTGTGTGTGTGTGTGTGTAAGAAGGGAAATGCCCCTGTTTACACATAGGATATACCCATTTTCCCTACTAAGGCTCAGGAATTTTCTGCATTTCTCCTTTTCAGTCTTTGTCTTGCCCATTGACTTGCCATTGTAGAATGTGTACATATACTAAAGGCAGGGACTTCATTTTTGGCCATTCTGAGTGCTGTTTAGTTTTTATTTATTATTTATTTATTTATTTATTTATTTATTTAATTATTTATTTATTTCTATGCTGTGCCTCCTTCTTAGATGTAGGTCCTTTATGAAGTCACTGTGGTGGAGCAACATGTCATTCATGCACACACATTGGCCAGACCTCACTTGAGGGGTAGGGGCAAGGCCCAAGGGTATATGACCAATGTGAGCCAAGACCTGTGATCAATGTTTACAAGGAGGGATATGGCAATAAAGCCAGAGTGGAACATCAAATTCTTATGAAAAATAATGAGGTTCATGGACTTTAAATCTAAATGATGAGGTGATGTTGGAAATTAGAGGAGAAACAGCTGAGAGGATCAGCAGTGAGGAGATTCACTCAGTTTTTCACTTATTCACCCATTCATTCATTCATCCATCATCCAACAAATATTCACTAAGCACCTACTATGGGTCACACACTGCTCTAAGAGCTAGAGATCTATTGAATGCCAAGTTTCCTGTACTCAGACTGGAAGTACTGTCTAGGGTGTAAGAGCCGTGAAAAGGACTGATGATTCTGAGCTCCTCTGAGAAGGGGCTCTTCACACAGGCATAGAGTCAGGGAATCTGTTTTGGAAGCAAACAACTGAGAGGCATGTAGACTGACTCAGGGTAGAATGAGAAACTCCACGGGGCTGGGAGACAAGGTGTATCAGTTCAACCCCAAGAAGCAGATTTTTGGAGGAGCACTGTTGCATTGGGACTGGGGACAGGAGTAGGGTAAAATGATCATTTTACCTTGGAACCAAAGGATAAGTCTGGGCTTGGCTAAAGAAAGCTTTGTTCTGTCTCCTTTATTCATACTCTTCCTGAGAGCTGCACATGATGTACTTGAGAGGTTTGCTAGGGCCAATAGTGACTGCAGCAGAGGAAGACACAGGGGACACAGAGGAGAGAGTTAGCAGAGAACAGTCTTAGACATTTTAGTGGATGGAGAAGAGTTCACCTGCCTCCTTTCCCTATTCCTGCGCCTCCACTCCCCTTCCCCGGTAATAGCCCAGGTGCTTGAGAGACCACACAGGCCAGGAGCAGCCTTAAGGTGGGGAACGGTTGGGTTAGAGGCCTTTCCCATCTGGGGGGCTCTGTCCTTGAAGATCTAGCTCATCTGTCAGCACTTACTGGAAGATGCAGAGTATTTCACGGGGCAGGCTCTGCATTGTGACCCTTGGCCTCTTGCTTAGCTTCTCCAAGCTGCAGATACAGAGGTCATAAGAGTACTTAACGCATAGGACTATCATGAGAAATGTAATCCTGTAGCCCTTCGTATACTAATCAAAGATATGTTATTGCAGTTCTTTGAAATGTAATGATCTCTCTTAATAGAGCGCTCCTTTAAGACAGGGTAAGGTGTTTTTTTTCTTTTTTTCTTTTCATTTTTATATCCCAAGTACTTAATATCTAGTGCCCAACAAAGCCCTTAGCAATGGCTAAGTCAGAATACAGTGGCCTCCTATTTTAGTGGCAGACTCGCCCCCCCCTCCCCCCCGTCCACCACCTAGTTACGAGCTATCTCACTCCATATGCATTTAACAGCTCTGCTCTGACAGTTGGCTATAAATTGAATTCATCAGTTATTTTAGTCTCTTGCTGAACCAGCCTAACAGACAATTTTATGTCCTGAAGACCAAACAACTGGTTGATTCAATAGGGTAAAATTCAGTCAACTGTTTAAAAAACTTTAAACAACTGATGTAGTGACATGTTTCAAGTTGCTTTATTACCTCCCATTTGATACTAAGTTAGCTTATGTTTATAGTGCTTCACAAAGTTAAAGCCAGTGTGGTCTATAAAAATGTAAGGGCTCTTAGAAGGTGAAAAGTAGATTTCAACAGTTATTTTACCACCAAGCAACATGAAACCAGTCCTTACCAACCATTTGTGGAAATTATGAAGTCTATGAACACTCCATTGGAGAAGAAAAGTATCATGGAATTAAATTAAGAAAGCTAATAATTTCTCTTTTAACATGTCACTTTTAGAGACTCTACTATATTTGGAAATATATTTCCTAAGGTTCTGTTGAAGATGATTTAATGTACTACTTGGTTTGTTAAGTAAGCCTACTCTAAAATGAGGTTTTAAGAAAGATGGACAGAGGACCCAGATGCTTTGACGAGAGACGCAGGAATTGGTATTTCAATATGTACAAAACTTGAAATGATTTGGCAATTGGATGACAGAGTTGTCTCTTTTATTAGCACACTCAAACAGCAGCAGAAACACAACCTTCTCCATTGGATTCTCATAGATTTATTGTTTTTTAATAATGCCACTTTTCAGAAGTATAGTCATGTGCTCACTTAGACAGGCTGACAAAGTGAAAACTTGTACGTGATGCAAAGTACCCTTTGGGCCATAGATTAAGACATAGATAGTGCAGTGACAAGTCAAGTCAAACGCCCGCAGCAGACAACAATCCCAACCTCCCCTTCCCGTGATCTGGCTCCCATTTTGCACCATAGAACCCGCAGTGGATATCTGGGCAAAACATAGAACACAGATGGCTACCGACTGACATGAAAAGTAAATTTTATTAAACATGTTTACATACATGAGTTGGAAGTTCATTTAAAAGCACAGGGGAGTGTTAAGACAAGTGGTCAAAATAGAAAGATACTACCCAATTATAATTGATTGTTGGCCACTAAGACAGAACGGAATCTAGTAGAAGTGCACCAGTGCTTCAGTTCTTCCTGCTCAGCATGGTGAGTAGTGGTCAATCTGTGCCCTGTGATGATGGGCAGGTAATTCTGGCGTGTGTAAATAATGATAAAGAATTCACTTGGTGCAGGCAGTATGTCTATGGATTAAAACCTAGTGTGTACACAGTGTCTACATGTGTTACAGCCCCACAGTAGGAATCTACACCAAAATATTGATTAGAAGTAATTTGGTCCATACTACATCACGTTTTCCAGAGGGTAAAAAATAAAGCCCATCTATAGACATTTCACCCCAGGCTCACAGATCGAGTCTGGCGATAACCTGCAAAATGTCTATAACAAAAATGGATGGCTTAGATTTCTTGGTTATTTCAGTATAGTAATTAACGAGCAAACTGTACAAGTACATGCAACATACAAGCGGGCCTATGTGGAACTAACATACATTATTAAATAACCTTTTGTTTCTTTTCTTTTTCGTTTTTTATTTATTTTTATGTATTTTTTTACAAAACGTGCATGCAGCGTTGAACAGTTCCAAGTCATGCTGCTCTATTTGTGTAATCACAAAAGTTGAAAGACTCATAAAAGGAGAACATATCGATGCACCTGCAGGGTCTGCAGTATGGGACACACACACAGAATGTCACAAGGGAAGTTCAAGGCCAAGAAAAACTCAGATGAAGAAAATGCAAATTGAAATTTAACTTTGTTTTATCTCCCCCCCAAAGTAAGATACTTTGCTTTAAAAAAGTCGAGCTTTGTGCTTGCATCGATCTCAAAGAAATGTAAACTAAAATCGGATAAAAACATTAATTTAGTGCAGAATAGTTCGACTGGAATTTCCAGTGGAATACTGAACAGCTCATACCATGCTCTTTCTGGGGCGGATGGGTGTGTCTACACTGGGACATGGTCGAGAAGCCTGGGCATAGCTGGAAGTGTCTTAGGCTCACATCCATTTCTAGTCACCATTTTGGGAAGTCAAAAGTGTAGTTTATACACATGAGCATATACTTTTTTTTTTTTGAAAGTCAGCAAGAAAAAGGCATGGCAAGGAGTGTTTCCGAAGTACGATTGTGCAGTTAGTTTTAGTTCCCAGCATGAGTTGTAGATTGACTTCTTTAAAAGTCTTCCATGCAAAACAATGGAAAATGTAAACTAATTTTTTAGAACATGAACAGATATGCTCTCCATTAAAAATGGTGATTCTGGGATTGTTTGTTTTGGAAGATAACTTTTTGTTTTCTGGGTTTCCACATGTAAGACTTTGAGGGATTTTACAATGAAAGCTAGTGGAGCCCTTCATGGGCCTCATCTTATCGAGCTGTTGAACACTTTGGGGAGATGCTACAGAGACTGCTTCAGCCCTTTTTGTGGTGCTTTTGGAAAAAGAAAAGAAGGGTCTCTGTAAGCATCATGAGGCCTGTCATGACACAGCCGAAAACTAGTGTAAGTAACAAACAGTGAAAAACGAAACAAAACAAATCCAAAAGCAACAAATAACACACACAGAAACAAAACACAAAAGAACAAAACTTCTCAAACACCAGGGAAATAACACTGCTCGTGGTCTGTGTAGAAACGTGTAAAATACAACTTTTCACAGAGTGAGAGTTTCCAGTTTGTTTAATTTTGGGTGCGTGTGTGTGCGTGTGTGTGTGTAAATTTGAAGTTTCCTTTTTTGTTGTTTGTTAGAAGCATCAGTGGCTCTCACTAGCATATTGGCTCTTACTGTAATCTGATAGACTGCCTTGTTCTGTCATATGAAGCCAGGTTTGAAACAACAGTTGGGACACATCACTGAAAAACTACCACAGCAAAACACAGGTTGATTGTCTGTCTCCAACAATGCTTTTGATCATGACATATCTGGTTCAGATTATTATCCTGAAAGGCAGAGTTTTGTTGGAATGACTCAGGTATAAGTTCACTATGATCGAATGCAGGGAGGCCCAGTTGAACTTTCCAGAGATGATTGGGAAGCCCGACGGGTTAGGGGAGTGAGTGTGGGATCCACCAATGATGACGGTGGGAACAATTTGTACCATCCGATTACCATACTGGACAGATCAAGTTCTTCCAACAAGATTTGAGCCACACCCATAAAGCATTTATGGTCCATTCTTCCATAGTCTCCCCAAACAATCACCTGCAGAGACAGAGAAATGCAATAAACTTGAACTTCTCCCTCTTTTACATTAGAAGAGTTGAAAGCAACTATCTGTAGCGGTGGGCTAGTCAGTGGAGAGGAGATGAATATAACTACCACCACAGGAGAGGAACTGGGTAAGAACATACCAACATTAAGGTGCTCAAAAAGACACTTTTCAATAATTTTTAGATTTTATGGAATGCAAGTAATGGAATGCAAGTCAATGAAAAGTATTCCATACATAAACCATGTTAAAGAAATAAATACACAAGTTTATTTATATATAAATGCAACACCTTCTTCAGTAACCACTATCTAATAAGCAATGTGGAGGACAACAGAGATATAAAAATTAAAATTTATATAAGCTAGGAGGGCAAAACAGCCCAACTCAGTGTACAACGGAGTGCATGTATGATGGAATATGTATAAAGAAGGAGACTATGAACTACATTTCTTTTATGTTATGGACTTGTTAGTGAAGGGCAGGTTGAAAATAATTGTAAGCTGATGCCTTTCAAGGGCCTGCCTGACAGTTTTGATTTGATCAGATGACTGGTCAGTGAGCGCGCTCACAATCTGGGTCAGCACCTGCTGGCGTCGGTTAAGCATTCCATTACACTTACTCCCGGCTCCTATTTTCCAGTCCTTCAGTTGTCTGTAAATGTTCTCAACTGAACTTATTTATCTGCTTTATACAGGCAGGGGTGGTGAAGCTGGCCTTTTCAATTTACTGAGTATCTTTGCCAAATTATTTAATCTCTGTGGTCCTCAGACATCATCTTTAAAATGGAGATAAAGATAGTTGCTGCAAAGGGTAGTTAAAATGTTGAAAAGAGGTAATTTGGGTGAGCACTTGACAATGCCCCTGACAGTCAACCAGTCCTGAATATTAGCTGGTCCCTGAACACTTGTTTTCCCTTTCCCTTCTCCCTTGTTGTATCCCATGTCTGCATATAGCGATGCTGACAAAACTATTATGAGCATCATTTGCCTTGATATCGATCATCTATCATCTATCTATCTATCTATCTATCTATCTATCTATCTATCTATCTATCTATATCATCTATCTATCATCTATCTATCTATCAATCTATCTATCTATCTATCATCTATCTATATCATCTATCTATCATCTATCTATCTATCTATCTATCATCTATCTATCATCTATCTATCTACCTATCTATCATCTATCATCTATCTATCATCTATCTATCCATCTATCATCATCATCTAGCTATCAACATGAGGCAAGGGGTGGCAAATGGGGCACAAGTAGAGGAGCGGATAGAGAGATGAAAGGAGGGAGAGAAAAATAACAATTTTGTCCACCATTAAATCTGTATGTATTTTTAATACTATGCATTATCTGTAGAGTAAACAGCAGTTTGTTGTTTGTCCTACTGGAGGATGCCAGACCACATTTCTCCCTACTGAACTTGACTGTCTTCCTGGTTGACCGCCTCTTCGGTGTCTACGTGGATATGTGGACTTTCAAAGTCAAGTCACCCCCACTACTACTGACCTGAAGAACTTTACCCTGTGGACTTTCGTCAAACACCAGGGACTGTTGATACAAAGGATCAAGGGTTTTGCGTGCAATTCTTGTCTTCTTCTTGGCTATACAGGCCCCGTTTTCCAAAAGATAGACTTTGACGTATGGAGCTAGACGAAGGTGATAGTAACATATAAGAAGTTAATCCTTTAAGTTACATTGATTTTATTAGAGAGTGCCTGACTAGACACTTAGAGATGCTTTCTGAACGTTTTCCACTGACTATTTAAATTATTTATACTTTCCAGTGCTTCATAAATTCTACTCCCTAACTCCCATGTTACCACTACTGCCATTTTCATTTCAAAAGCATGTATACAAATTATCTCAAGACTTTGACTTACTTGGGGTTTACCTGGAATTACAATTCAGGTTTATATCTTAAAACTCTTTGTGTCCTCATATCAAAACCAAACATTTTTTCCTTTTGCATTTGTAAATGTATCAAAAAGAAAACACCCCTAACTGACACAAGCTAAGAAACAATTATAACTCAAGTTTCCTTAATATGACCATATTATTCTTAATACTTTCTGACAGAATAATTGTGCAAAGGTTCTTTTTCATAGACTCAAAGAACACAGAAGAGCTGCCTCTTTAATCAATCAGACGATAACCTCGGAGGTAGAAGGCTCCAGCGCAGCGAGGGTTTGGGTTGGCCCGAGCCCCCCTTACCAGGTGTGGATTTGGAGCCGGGTTTCTGCGTGAGGCTTCGCGCCCTGATCACCTCCACCTCCAGCTGGCCCTTCTTATCCTCCATCCCGATTTGTATGTCACCTGCAAGGGCCGGGGAAGCAAAGCGTTTCAGCTCCTTGGCGGTCACGTGTGGTTAAAAGGACAGACGTCCATGGAGGCTTCAAATGAGGATCTTTACGATCTCGATAAAAACTAAGATTTAGAAATTGCCAGCCCCGTTCTTCTCTCCCCGCCTCCAAATCCAGTCTTGAAATGTTTCTCTTTATCTTTCTGGTACTAATCCATCTTATGGGAGTACCGATTAGTTTATAAATTGCTTAATGACAACAATACTGAAGTATTTAAGTGATTTTTAAAAAAAATTTATCTTTATTGTTCAAAGTATTACAG